ATGACTGGCCCCGCGGGCACAGGGCGGCCACTCTCAGGAAGTGGGGCACCAGCCTCGGTGAGAACGTGGTGGGCGGGAGCCCGGGCGGGCTGCGGAGGGACTGTAAGACGGGGCAGCCGCTGTGGACGACGTGTGGATGGTCGTCAAAGAGCTGAGAACAGAACTCACGACCCACGATTCCACTCTGGGTAGTCTCCCAAAAGAATTAAAAGCGGGGTCTTGGGAAGACATTTGCACACTCATGTTCACTGCAGCAGGTGGACAAGGAGAGTGTGGCCGACCTGTGCAGCGGGACATCACTCAGCCATGAAGAGGAAGGAAGCGGGTGGACCTGGAGGACACTGTGCTGAATGAAACAAGCCAGACACAACAGGACACGTCCTACAGGACGCCACTGGTCAGGAGCCCTTCAGCGGACAGATGGCCCACTGTGCCGCCTGGAGGGAAGGCCGCACAAGCGCCTCTGGGGTCAGGCATGGGCCAGGCCACTGAGGGCCCCTGAGAGCTACGGAAACTGAACAGGACAGCAGAGCCTGGGGCAAGAGGCGAGGACGACACTGCTCTTGTCCACTGCTGGCCCTGGACGGTTTCAAACCCAGGATCCTGCCCCTCAGCGCGTTCAGCATGCAGCCTGACCGAGGCAGGAGACAACCTGCTTCTCAGACCATGGGCGAGGGACAAATTAGAGCTCTGGTCACCAGCGGTCACATGGTGGGAACCCAAGGCTGGGGCTCCAGGGCTGCTCACATGGGGACAATGGTGGAGAGGGTCCTCAACAGCCCCAATTTCCCTAGAGAAACCGAGGCTCAGAGGCACAAGGGTCATGTCCAAGGTCAGGAGGCAAGGACGGGAGCCCCAGGCAGTTGTCCCAGGGTTTGGAAGAGGACTCAGGAATCAGCAGCTGGCAGGTCAGATGCAGGTGATGGGGGAGTGTGGGGCGGACAAGCCTGGGTGGACACTGGGGGGCTGCTGGGGTGGATGGAGTCGACAGAGATGGGCCAGACTGAAGGACACTCACGGTGGGGACAGGCCGCAGACAGGAGAACTTTCACAAACGTGGTGGTTAAGATAGCACAGGTGAACTCTCCTTCAGCCCCAGAAGTCACAAGTCCAAAGTGGGTCTCATTGGGCTGGATCAGACCTTACCTGCTGCAAGGTGAGTGGAGGCCGGGGGTCAGGAAGCCCTGCCTACATCTGCAAGTGTATTCTGCAGGTGTTGGGAGCCCCGGGAGGCCATCCGGGTCATGGAGCTCCGTCCCGCCTTGGCTCTAGGCTGTGGGGGGAGACGGGTCAGCAGGAGGCCCCTGAGCGGCTACCTAGGAGGTGAGCTTCAGGGAAGCAGGGGGAGCGGGGTGGGGAGATGGTGGGAAGGAGGTGGGGA